TATGCTTCACTTTGCCTACTAATCACTGATCACTGATCAGCTTGAGTTGAAGAACATCTCATCTATAACGTCAGCAAAACAACTGATTATACTTCATCAATGTTGAATGAATAAACGAAATAAATAATGAATGTTGCAGTCGAACTAAAAAATGTTAGCACGATCCTTTCCAAGCGCACCTAATAACCGTACTGTTTTTGAAGCGTGCTCGAGATCAGCAGACTCGGCGTCAGAAAGCAGCCGCAACTCGTCAACGAATGTCTGGTGCATCTCGAACTTCACGGGATCAAGACGAAATAATCAGCGAATTGGAACAACGACTCATGATGGTCAATGGTATCGGTGGTGCGCCTAATAAGAAAAATCAAAAATCCAAACTGGATTCGAGTCAAATCAATGATGGTGATTTCGAAAAGATTATGAATGGTTCGTTCTTGAATTCATTCGCATCACTGCATTTCTTCTTAAATTTCAACTTTTTTATTCGAGAATTATTCACGTCTCACATATATTTGTACTTCGAATCGCACCCTCGTCAACAACGCGTTGTGAATAATCAGTGAGCGAGTCAAAAAAAAAGAATTTTTACAAATGAAAGCGCAACTTCAGGTCTTCGTGAAGGTGCATACGTGACATTTGATGGACCGCAGTCAGCGAAACGTTACAGTGGTGCGCCAGTTGGCTTGACTTCTAAAGGCGGCGGTATTCCACCTCCGGTCGAACCAAAACCACGCATTGTTCACGAAGTTGATAGGGAACGTTCCTGATCGTGATTTTATGCGATCGCTGCCGTACCGATTCGTTCAGTAACATTAATCAACATAACCCAACACCACCGGTCGTTTGAACCACTTTATCATCATCGCATTCGTTTCTTATCACCTTTAACACACTAATTTATTTATATACATAATTGTACCATTATGAAAATGAGATTGTTGTTAATATGAATTATCAAAATTCTATCATTCAAATTCTGATTATGTACTATTTACTTCCGACTCAATGATCTTATCATGTGTTGTTATCGTTGTTGCATTGTTACTACCATCAAATTTCCTGTTTTTATTTTTCTTGTTCCTTTCACGTTTTTTTTT